AAACCGGTGATCTTCAAAAACAATGTTGTTATTTTAATGAAATGAATATGATCCTCAAAATATCATATAGTGAAATGCAAAAGTTGATTTTTGGCGGACATGGGACACCATAATTTTGGACTATAATAGGATCGAGATAAATTATGAAAGACACTTGTACCGTCCCCCGTGAAATATTGGAGTTCCAATGGAAATCAGGGGGTAACAAATAATTCTTTTCAAATATTTTCGTCTTAAAAGTTTTCAGCAACCGTCCCCCCGTCAATAACCTATTATTTTTGGAATTCAGGGGGGTGGGAGAGTTGAAATATTTCAGGCATTTTAATTTATGCGACAAAAGACAACAAACGTGGCGCTTTGTGTTTTCGAGAAATGTGAAATTTTGTCCAATTTTTCTTCAAATATTCACACAAGACACTCACGAGTTTCAAGATAGGCAAAGTAAGTTGAGTAATCTATCAAAAACACTGTCAGAAATGATTAAACTTGTATTTTATCAATTTATTCAATATATCGTTTGATCATATCATATATATTGGTCCGATTTACTAAAGAAAAGATATACAGTTTGTGTGATAATTTATTTGTGTGATATGGCAAACAGATGTCAGGGACTTTCTGCATCTGCTTTGACAAACTTGTGTGCAGAGTTTGTCTTAATTATGATGATGGTGATATAATGGGCTATTCCATTTAATATCCGTACCCCCCCTGTCGAGGATACATGTTTTTCATTGTCATACCCCTGAAGAATTCCAAGCTCAAAACTGTTTACCCCTGAAGAATTCCAAAATTCCAAGCTCAAAACTCTTTACCCCTGAAGAATTCCAAGCTCAAAACCTTTTACCCTGAAGAATTCCAAAATTCCAAGCTCAAAACCCTTTACCCCTGAAGAATTCCAAGCTCAAAACCTTTTACCCCTGAAGAATTCCAAGCTCAAAACCCTTCACCCCTAAAGAATTCCAGGCTCAAAGCCCTTTACCCCTGAAGAATTTCAAGCTCAAAACCTTTTACCCCTGAAGAATTCCAAGCTCTGAAAAATTTCAATCTCAAACCTCTTCACCCCTGAAGAATTCCAAGCTCAAAACCCTTTACCCCTGAAGAATTCCAAGCTCAAAACCATTTACCCCTGAAGAATTCCAAACTCAAAACACTTTACCCCTGAAGAATTCCAAGCTCAAAACCCTTTACCCCTGAAGAATTCCAGGGATCCTCGACAGGGGGGGTACGGATATTAAATGGAATAGCCCAATGTAGTACGTGATTTTAAATATTGTTTATTTGGGGCAATTAATACAGCTTATCGTGTTTTTATGCGTGTTTATAATGGTCTTTTACCTGTAGCAAATATGGCTTCACCAAAATATAACTCAAAAACCAGCTTTTGCTTATATAAAGCAAGTATATTTCACCGTATTTTCGAGCAAACTACTGACTATAATGCCAACAAAGCGAGTGTTTCAGCTTCCCTTGCGGTTCCACGCAATGTTTCGAAACGCTTTACCGTTACATTTTACATTAACTTTTAGCCGATTGAAAGCCACATAACATATTCCTTTTAATAACAAATTATGAAAATCAACGATTCTTTTGGTAAAAAATTATATCCTACTGTTTTCTCATATTATTTTCATGTTACCATAGCGACTATTATTATTTTAAACATGGAGTACTTGATGTTGAATAGAATTTCTATACTTCATCTGTTAAAAAAGGCGAGGGGTTGCTGCATGCATGTATTTCTAGTATATATACATGAACGTGCAGTTAGAGCTTGACACCTGAACTTTGTAGCTTAGTTAGTTAGAGCACTGGACCAGAATCGCAGAGACACAGGTTTCATTCCTGCTAGATGACCTATAGATGCATTTAAATAGAGAGATTTATGCCCGTATTCTAAAAGCTCACTCACACTCGATGAGTGGAGGTTCAATCTGAGCTTCTCTTGAGCGTTAATGCTGTTTTGGAATAAGGAAGGTAAGTAGTCACTGAGTACGAGGTGACACTAGCCCTCTAGCAGTTCAAAAATAACATTGAAACTCAAGGCAAGCTCAGATTGAACCTCCACTTACTGAGTGTGAGCGAGCTTTTAGAATACAGGTATTAAATGGTGCACTGCCAGGACAATTTACCTCTTTTGTTCATAGAGATGTGGATTCATTTGAGCATAAAAGGCAAATATTGCAGTAACAATATCCACAGCAATAAAGATTACTTGTATTGAGTATTAATATTATTATGACTATATAGTGATTTGATGCAGGTTGATGGTAAAGTGTACAAAGTTATTTTTCTGGAAAAAGCAACCATCACTGAGTGCAATATAAAAATTAAGCAATATTCCAGTGACATGTATCACAAGAGATATCTGTTGAAGAGGGCTTGGATTGGTTTATTGCCTTTCTCACCTTCAAGTAATTTACAACCTGTCATCGAGAAAGTTTTTGGATATTTTACATGTATATAAAAAAAAAAATAATAATTGTAATAGATGCTTTCTCTGCAGAGCAACTAATAAAAGATGATGCTTTGGGGCTCATTTCTGCTTACTGGAGCTGTAATAATATAATAATCAACAATTTAATAAATTAAAAATTCAATAATAATTTTAATAATAATAATAAATTTCATCATAACTTTATTACAATAAATACATTTATTATTATGTATTAAATTAACAATATTAACCTCCAAATTTTATTCTATTCCTGTCCACATGTGCCTGCCTGGAGTGTTCCTGTTGAAATTGTTGCTTCAGTTTTCACATACTAATAAGAATTAGATGCTGTACCTTGTGAATGTTCTAACGCAAACTAGTTCGAACAAGTAACATTTGAATATAAACTAGAATATCGGTGTTCCCGGAAGTCCAACAACAAGCCATTGTTGGGTGGTGATCAGGTGAATCTTGTTTGAAAATATTACAAACATGACACTATGCAGACTGCAGTTCGGCCATTTCCTGACTTGACGAAATAAATGAACAGCAAAATTATGTACATCCATGTTGTCCAATATGTCTTTTGCCTGAACTTTGTCAGGCACAAATACCACTTTCACGAAATTCTTCAAATATGACCTTGTTTAATTATATATTTTCTTGACAACTGTCCCTGTATATGCCTGTATGGCACCATTTAAATTTTCTGCCACAGGTAAAACATTTCAATTCCTAAACATTTCCTGGGCCATTTTCATATTTCACCTTTTTCCATTCTGTCCTAAACGCCCTGAACGTCCTAAACGTCCTGAACGTCCTAAACGTCCTAAACGTCCTAAACGTCCTAAACGTCCTAAACGTCCTGAACGTCCTAAACATCCTAAACATCCTAAACGTCCTAAACGTCCTAAACGCCCTAAAAGTTCTAAACGTCCTAAACGTCCTGAACGTCCTGAACGTCCTGAACGTCCTGAACGTCCTAAACGTCCTAAACGTCCTGAACGTCCTGAACGGTCCCAGGAAAAAAAATTCATAAAAAAATTAGATGGGAATTTTCGTGGATGAAAACTTAATAAAAAATTATATATATTTTTTCCTGTCGAATAATATATATTTTGTCCCACCGATCGGAAATCATAGTAATTTTTTTTCAATACCTTATAGAAATAAAGAACATAGTATGGGAAGCCGTCCCCTGATCGATGCGTAATTTCCTTACGGACCTCTACTCATTTCTATTTTTCCATAGTCCGGACGAGTATGGAAAAAATTATTATTTTAGAAGAAGGATCGCGGAAGAGAGAAGTTGTTCAAATTTTTTCCCCAACTCGGGTAAATCTTTGGAAAGCGTTCATTGTAAAAAAAAAAAAAAATTCTGGAAAAAAGCATATAATAAAAAGCAACATGAATAGAACAAGCCAACTAACTTTCGACGACCTTCGGATCACGGACCACAAGAACTTTACAAAAGACTCGTTCGAATTCGGTAACACCATAACCTACACGAGATTTGACACGGAAAAGATAATGCTTCGCACACGGGGCGGAAAGACGTTACTTTTCCGTATCCCCGACTGTTTTTAGTATGGCGTCCGGAAAAGCGACAAGTTCGGGAAGATACAGTTTGACGCCTTCATCCAACTCGAAGAGGAATTCGCATCCGTCTTCGACACGATCGGCGAGAAATGTTACAGACACGTAAAAAACTTGGACGGAAATGCGATGACGTGTCTTTCCAGTAAAGGGAATAAACCCGTTCTCTACGTAAAACTCGACGACAAAACCGTTTTTTTCGACGAAACCGGTGAACGAATCGGTCACCGCGAATACCGAGATGGTTGGTTTCATTCGGATTCGGTCGTGATAAGACTCGAGAGCGTTTACGTAAACGGCGACAAGGTTTCCGTTCAGGTTAAATTACACGAATTCCGTATCAAACCCGATCCTCCGGACAGCAGAGACGACGAGAACTTTTCCGATTGGAGAGATTAAAATTATTTTTTTTTTATTAAATAAAATAAATCCTATGACTACTATCATTCATTCGGCGATGAAATTATCTGCAGGAAACGTAACAGATATTCCCAACGTATCATTAACGGAAGAAGAGGCCAACATCTTGTACGCAACGTGTGCGATCTGTAGTTCGTCCGCACTATCCATTCTGATGTTCGTGACGGTGAAATTAATAAGGATGTGTCGAAAGAAGAAAAAGAAAGACGAATTACCCATTCACACACCGTCCGCGTAAGAAAATTTTAATCAATAATATTAAAATTTATTTAGGATTATTATCACCAGCAATATTTCGAACGTGATCGGAATCAAGAGACAGCTGATCAAACACGTCCACAGTAAAATTCGCCACAGGAACATTTATTCCATAATTTTTTACCGTCGTACTCATGTATCCGATCTGCGTATGAATACTGATCGTCTTATCCCCGCGATCGAATCCGAATCCAAGACTAAACATTTTTCGTCTCTTATGATTTTTATTATGTTTGGTTGTTCCGTTAGATTTTGAAGAAAAACATCCCATTTAATTAAATAAAACCTTTTAATATGATCATCGTTGGTACGACGGCGTGTGGGAAAACAGATTATCTGATCGAAGAATTAAAGACGACGTCTGGAAGAAGATCCTTGATTATTCTGGATGATTGTGAAAGTACAAAATTTGTTAAGGATCGTACGAGTGAACTGGTGAGATTGGGAATGAGCGGACGACGATCGTGATTACACAACAACTGACGTCGATTGCCAAACCTTTTCGTAAAAACATATCGAAATTAATGGCGTTCTATACTACGGATGTGGATGACTCGAAGATAATTTTGGGGGAATGTTTTCGTTCGAAATCTACGAAATTATGCGACGAAATTTTTGATAAATTAAAACGGAATAAATATTCGCATCTCCAAGTAGAATTAATTTATCCGTATCGTCATGAAATAAAGTAAAAGTAAAAGAATGGAAGAAGAAATTCCTGTACAAAAGACGGAAGCAGAAGTTCTAGAAGATACGCGAGTGGAATTAATTCGGTTATCGAATGCAAGCGAAATCAAACAATCCGAAAATTATTTGAAAAAAGCAGTGCCGCGTGTCATTCTAAAAATCAAGCGGGAATACGAGATCAATCAACGTGAGAAAGTGAACGTCCTTTTGACAGAAACGTTGATCGAGAAATTTTCGGGACTGTTGGAAAATCTTCGTATGATCGATAGCGGTCAAGATCTGAAAGAAGAATTAAATCAGGATAAATTATTAAAAAGCGACGTGAAAAGTCTCGTGGAAAAATTGTCGCCGTACATTCCGTATTTGGGAATTTTAAGCGGTGGTGTGACGACGGTAAAACACGTGTATGGAAGGAAAGGGGACGAACGTAGCGAACCGGAAAAAGAAGAAGAAGAGAAGACGGAATAGGGAACTTGTCCCATTTTAATATTTTTCATATTTTCGGAAAAAATATGAAAAAAGTTGAATCACGACAAGTTAGTACCTCACACCACTTAATTGTCCGTTGATCATTTTGATGAGACCGTCCGAAAGAACGAACGTGTAACAGATGACGTTGGCGGTCGTGGCTTTTTTCGTAATTTTGATTAAAATACCCGACTGGGTATTTTAAATTTTTACACCGTTTCCGTACGTTCTCGCATCGTTCGCAGTTCGTAAGTCGATAACCAATGCGAATTTTTTATCTTTGTAAAATTTAATCAGAGATTGTTTTCCGTTCGCATCGGTTCCAAAGAGCCGTTTGGCTTCTTCGTACATGCGTGTTTTTGTCATGCCCTGACTGTAAATCACGTTGGGAACACCTTCGATGGTAACTTTAACTTTATCGATGTTCGGGAAAATATAATCTTCGCTATCGGTCGGTGTTTTTTTCCGTGAATAACATCACGACGGCTTTCATGCTACGTCGCGGTAAGTTGATGGTTTCGTTGACGATCGTTACGTCCTTGTCCCATTCGGTCTTTTTCATCAACGTCGCATGTTCGAACGATAATTCGCGTTCGGCTCCGTACAAATTTTCAGATTTTCGGGCAAGATTTGTGTTCTCGATGGATTCGTATTCCAATTCTAGATTTTCTAACGAATAACCGTCGACGGTTTCTCCGCTTTGAGCATTCATGATTTCCGAGGCTTGCGGTAACGTGATAACGTATTGTAGATCTTTCGCGAAATGATACGGTGCGTACAAACCGTGATCGCTTAAAATCTTGGTGATTTTTAACCGTTGTTTCGTTCCGAAGACACCGAACAGGGCGGTGGCATCGGCATCGTTATTCGCTTCGTCGTCTTTGGAAATTTTTTTACGCACGGCTTCGGTCGCAATTCCATCTTCGACCATATCCGCACGTTGTTTTTCGTCCATTCACAAATCTTTGTAAATTTCCAACAAACTTTCTCCACCGTTGTCCTAGACTTTTTCACCGGCGAGACGAATTTCCAGTCTTTTCTGTAGTAATTTTCTCAAATTATTCCGGAACCATGATTTTTCGTTGGCATTTTTAAAGTCGAAAATTAATGGCATACTATCGGGAACCAATGTGGAATCCGGTTTAAGTTTTGGAATGTTCACGTAGATTTATTCGCCAGGTTTTGCCGAGTTTGGATTAAACGTTTTTTTTGAACATTGAACATTTATTTAAACACGGTAAAATCTTCAGTGTAGAATAAAATACAAAAACTATTAATAAATTTCACACATCACTATATACACACTAATTTCCTAACTAAAATGCACTGTTTTCCAAGATTGCCGTGTGGGGATCCATTATAATGTCAAGAATTGATTAATTTCATTTTTGAAATGCCTCAATGATTTGGACGTACGTGCAGTTTGAGGAAGCGCATTCCATAAACTTGCTCCACTGTAGCAGAAACTACGCTTCATAAAGTCCGTACGTGGTTTTGGTAAATTTAGCTTCATTTCTGCATTTCTTAAGTTATAATCTGTGCTGCGAAATGTAAACATGTTTTGTAAATACTCTGACGTTAGCTTATTGATAGTTTTAAACATTAGTATAGACTTGTGCTTTTTCCTACGTAAGGAAAGATTGTCCCAATGCAGTTTCTCTAAGAGAATGCTAGAGCTGACATCGTAGTTGGATTTCGTAATCACTCTAGCAGCTCTATTCTGCAATTTTTGCATTTTTTCACATAATGTTGCGCCAAATTCGTCCCAAATGGGACTACAGTAATCAAAGTGAGGTTGAATTATAGCGTTGTAAATTTGGATTGCTGTTTCAGTTGATATAAATGGTTTTATTCGCTTAAGAGCACCTATAGCGGAAGAAATCTTTTTACACTTCATATCAATGTGTTTAGACCAAGACAGATTTTTATCAATAATTACACCTAGTGATTTTGCCTCATCAACTTGTTTAATCACATGACCATCCAGGTCAATATTGATATTTTCGTTAGTGTGCGCATGCATACGTTGTCGAGATCCTATTATCATAAATTCTGTCTTGGCGATATTAAGGCTTAATTTGTTCGCTTCCAACCAGCTTTTCAATTTTTTTTAATTCCGAATTAATAACATTTTCTAGTTCGGCGATAGTGTTGGCCGCATAACTAATGTTCGTATCATCAGCAAACATTCTCGGTACTGCTGCACTGAGACAATTAGGAAGGTCGTTAATATACACAAGGAAGAGTAATGGTCCTAAGTTACTTCCCTGTGGTACACCACGTGTAACTGATGCAGATGATGACAAGCAACCTCTAACATTACATTTCTGAGATCGACCGGTCAAATAAGACTGAAACCATTCGAGACTTAATTGATCCATACCGTAAATTCGAAGCTTCCGCAGCAATATCTGATGATCAATAGTATCGAATGCTTTTTTAAGGTCGATAAATATTACTCCATTGAAGAGGCCATTGTCGAGCCATAAATTTTTCGCAAGAAATTCTAATCCTTTCGCACCCCAACTTAATAATGTTGCCAACATATTTAGGATCGGAACGAACACGGGTAATGCGGCTTTCGCTACTTTGGCCAATGCTTTTCCAACTTCTCCCAATCCTTTTGCGGTTCCGACCAACGTCTTTTTTCCGGCGACGACGACGGTCGTGATGATACCCGCAATGGATATGGCAATGGCTCAGAGGAGGAGTGAGGACTATACCGGCATGCAACGCGGTCAGGCGCGGTTTTTTACATATTATCGATTTCTCGCTCTGCGCCGTCATTGTTCGGTCGGCTTTCGCTGTGTTTACACCTCGAGGTTTGAAGAGTTCAGAAAAGATTTATAAAAAAAAAATTGTGAAATGGTGAATTTTTTGATTGCGGTAGTCCTGCACTGGTACAAATTCATTCTAGTTGTGTTTTTAAGGTGAGATGATTTTTATATTAAATAAAAGTACAAAAATCCTCCTATGTTGTATTAAAAATACAGCAGTATTTTTAAAAACGTATTTTTATTTCATATCATGTAGTTCTTCGACCCTAATGATCCACGGGAAGGAGGTATAAACGAAGAATATAACAATATTATGTTGTTGGGAGTTTGACATTTCAACATCACCAACATCCCAAATAGTCAAGATGATGAGTTGGATAGTGTACTTCCACCAACAGAATTACATCAGCCAACTGATTGTAGCTGTTTTAATTTACCAATAAATCCTGTTTGCCCTGACACACATTCATACACACCAAATGATGGAAGAAGACCCAGTGATAGCATTGTAGAGAATGAAATGGAGGCGATTCAGCACTATCATGACACTATATATAAATGTATTGACTACTGTGTGATGCATTGCAAGGATTTATACTGATCAACCAGTTATCTATGCTTACTGTCGTTCCAATTGAAGTGTTGCTCAAATATTGATTCAATACATTACCTCGGGCTGACCAATTCATTTGATCAAGTTCCTCGAGATATTCATACACTTCCTAGTACAACTGTAAACTTCCTGTTGAATAGTTTGAATGCACCAATCACCTTTGTTGTTTGTGCAACTAACCAATCATAAATAGAAAGGAAGTGACCAGAAATAATCAAATACTTGCAATCACCTTTGTTGTTTGTGCAACTAACCAATCATAAATAGAAAGGAAGTGACCAGAAATGATCAAATACTTGGAATTGGCTCTTTCACAGGAAGTGTATGAATATCTCGAGGAACTTGATCAAATGAATTGGTCAGCCCAAGGTAATGTATTGAATCAATATTTGAGCAACACTTCAATTGGAACGACAGTAAATGATCAACCAGTTGTCTATTATTTCACTCTGCCTAACACCAGATTATTTTACTGTCTAACACTAGACTATTTACTCATCAGGGGGAGAGTACTGACACTCCAATACTCAATGGGTTAAAAAACATTGAAACAAAATGTTTAGCAGAAGCTGCAAAATTGTATATTGGTGTCTGGTGTAATACTGACATTTCTTTTTTTGTAAGGATAGAGCTGGGGAACCTGTAGTGGTACAGTCTTGGCCCTACCCCGGTTTTCCTGTACTGCGTGTTTTCGTCACTTCCCTGATTGGGTCGTTCCAGAAAAGATCCATACTCCCCCCACGGAGGAAAGTTCTGCTGTCCGGAGGGGGGGGGAGAAAAATTTGTTTCTGATAATAGTAAATGTATTACGACATCCGAAGGGGGTAGGGGGGTTAACTTCCTATTTTCTCTCTGGGGGTGGTATGGATGTTTTCTGGAATGACCCATTATACCATAAGTATTGTATTGTATCCCATGGACACCATCTTATCAGTTCTGCAGTTTTTTGACAATCTACCGTAAACTTCCAACTATAAGCACTGGGCTTATATTCTTTCGTAAGTGATTTTTGATGGGCTTACACAAGCCAGGTGATCTCGTGTTCGTATTTTAGCCAATCAGCGCTCAGAAAGGGTTGTCCAAATAGAAATCCATTTTGATGTATTCAGTCAATTATATCTTTTGCTATTCTTTATGAAACTAGTTGAAATTTTGTAATTATGTTTGGTTATGAGAACTATAGCTCTGACAAAAATATGAAATCGAAATAAAGTATATTACAGGAGATATTCAGTTGTTTTAATCTTAAAATGGATTTCTATTTGACAACTAGTGCCAGTACTTTTCTGCGTATCAAGATCA